TGCCCCTGAGAGGTGCCAGCGCGTGCGTGATGTTCATCCCTAGCGAGCCGTCTTAGGTATTAGAAGGCGCTTCTTTACACCCAGGTCCCCTCCTCTTTGTGACAACCTCCACCTCCCGTGTCAACATAGTCTCGTTCCCATTCTGCGCCCATCTCACATGTTCCCTCTCTGGACTAGGCAGCCCTAGGGGTTGCACAAGCTGCAATTTCCAACCTCCCTCCCATGCTGGGCATCCTCTGGGGAATGCACCGCCCAGAGTTTGCCCCTCCCCGTTGAAAATCAGCCATTTTTCAGGATTTCTCAAAGATGGCCACCGGTGGCCTGCCCAGTTCCCTGGGCTGAGTGATGCATCAGGCTGGAGTGCAAAGTCGCCACAGCGACCAGTCATCACTCTGCTTGACAGAGAGCAAGACAGCAGGACAGGGCTGAGTCTGTGCTTCCTCTGGTACCAGTTCGTATCACACCCTTCCCTTCGTCCGTGACACAGCCGGTGCCTTCCAGCCCCATATCCGATACTGGGAGACCTTGGGAGAGTCATTTTAAAATCTCAGGGCCTGTTTCCTTATCTGCAAAAGAGCAGGATTGGGCCAGATGATATCTAAAGTCCTCCCCGCCCTGTGGCTCCAGGCGTACTCCATGCCCGCCTGCCTTCAGGAAACCCTGACGACTCCGGAATAAAAGAACCTGCAGCCCCAGCACGTAGAACGTGTAGGGTAGGTGCACAGCAGGCGCCCAGGAGAGAGTTACTGGTGGCATGACCAGAGGGTGAGATGGATGGACAGACCCTCCACAAATCCCAGGCCCACCGGCAAAGAGAGAAGCCAGCTGTTTAGAAAGAGGGGCCCAAGAGAAGCCTGCCACCTGCAAACGCCAGGGACTCACATCAGGATCAAGTGCCCAGGGCACCCCGGGGAGCAGGCAGACTAGGAATCCGCTCCTGCCCCAGCCTGCCAGCTGCTGGCTACACGGCTGTGAGCAGGCCACCCAGCTTTTCTGAGCCCCAGTTTGCTCCACGACATAATCTACCCCTCTTGCCTACCCAGAATAGACTCGGGCCTGCCCAGGATCCTGCAAAAGCCACTGCGGGTCCCTGATGGCCCAGTGTCATGAAAAGGGCTTTGAAAACTGTATGTGCTATGCAAGTAACAGCAACGTTTGTCATTATTAGTGGTTGTCCCAAACCACTGTGTCGGAATCCCAGCTCCCCCTTTCAGTAGCTCTGTGGCCTTCAGCCTCAGCTACTCATCTGTGACATTGGGGAGGCTCATGGCACCTTGTCATTATGCTGTCATCAGGATTAAATGAGTGTACTTTCGTGAAGCTTTCAAAACAAAGCTTGGCAGATACAAAGTCCCATTACAGGGTGACCCTCTCACTGTTGCTGTTATTACTGGTATGGGTGAAAGCAGCCTGGCGGTCCCCTTCTCCCCTCACCTCCTCCCTCCAGACCCCCCACCTGACCTCCAGACCTCCAAGTCACTCTGTGAGGACATTCCGAGCCCCTGGCTGGGACGGCCCGTGCAAGGAGAAGCAGCGTGCGCGCCGTTTCTCCCCCAGCCCAGGTCTCCAGGGCTCCGGGCTGTGTGTGGAGAAGGCCTGCGTCCGGCCGACCTTGACGGCCACTCCATGTGGCTGTCACCCTCAGGAAATTCCCTTGACTCATTTTTCAGAAGTTGAGAAAAGCTGCTTCAGCTCTTTGCAAGGATCAGGGGTGTCCATGGCAAGCAAGCCCTCTCCGCTCTCCACCCCGCCCCGCCAGTGCACCCACAGCAGGGCGGTGACCCCAGGACCCTGCTACCCAAGGCCTTGGGCAACATCTGTTGAGTAAGACAAAAACACGGGTTGAAGATTAAGCCACTCTGCCCTGGCTGGCCCAGGCACAGGCTGGAAAATGTGTTTGGCCGGCAGGGCCCGAAGCTGGGCAGAAAGTCTGGGTCCAAGACGAGGAGTCTGAATACCACTGGGCTGGGATTCAAGCGAGAGCAGTGGGAAGGCCGGAGGGAGAGCTGCAGCCAAAGGGAGCTATGGGGAAAACACGACAGACAGACAGACAGACACACCGTGGGAGGGACAGGCAGGGGCAGGGAGGCTGGGGACCAGCGCTGCAGAGGCTGAAGGGCAGGCAGAGAATGGAAAAGGAAGGAAAAATACAAACCCGCCCTTTCCTCCCTCTTGTGAACCTGTTCAAAGCCCTCGCCTCGCCCGCCCGTGAGGAAACAGGTGCTGAGCGCTCTCAGGGGAAGCCAAACTTTCTCCGGTTTCCCCCGGGCCACTTTCCCACTCCCTGGGGACAGCAACAGAGCTTCCAGCTGAAGGCAGCCGCCCCCCATAGACTCCCACCCACAGATCTCAACTGCCATGCCATCGGCAAACCAGTCCTGTTTACTGGGCCGACCCTGTGCCAGACTCCCGGCTGAATGGCTTGCTTCCAGTCACTCGATAAACTGGAAGAGGATAGAGCACCTACTGTGTGCGAGACGGTGGAGATACAGCAACAAACACAACAGGGAAAATCCCTTGTCCTCCTAGAGTCTGCAAGCTGGCCTGGGCAAAGCCCCTCAGACGGGATAAATAGCAAACTGCACCGTGCGGCAGAGGGTGGCGTGTGCTAAGGGGTAATGACAGCAGGGAAAAGAGACAGAGTTGCTGGGGGAAGGGAAACGCTGACCCCTGAGCAAAGACTGGGGCAGGAGCGAGCCTTGCTGGTACCTGTGGGAAGAGCATTCCAGGCAGAGGGAACAGCAAGTGCAAAGGCCCAGAGGCATCGTGACGGGTATGGTCAAGGAACAGCGAGAGGCCGGGTGGCTGAGACAGAGTGAGTGAGGTGGGAGAGAATGGAGGAGAGAGAAAGATGATGAGAGAGAGGTAGAGGAGAAGGAGATGAGGTAACAGAAGAAACTTGTCATGTAGGGCTGTGTAGGCCAATGGGAGAAACTGGGCTTTTGCTCTAAGTAAGAGGGACAGGCATTTGAAACAGGGGTTTTTAAAACAGATAAATTAAATGAATTAACTTGCTCATTTTATTCTTTGAACAACCTTGCAGGGTAGGTGCTATTACTAAGTCCCATTCTGAAGAAGGGAACCTGCGGTCCAGAGAGATTAAGCCATGCTGCAAGGCCACACAGCGGGGCTGGGGAGCCAGGTCCCAGAGGGAGGCAGTGTAACTCCCCGCTCTCTGCTGTGGGGGAAGTTCTGACTCAGGTAGGGGAGCCTCTGGGAGCACAGCCTGGCCTCGCCAGGCCCCTCTACACCCAGGTGGCTGACCCGCCCTCCCCGAAAGGGCAGAGCCCCTGCACAGATGGGGCACATCACAGAGACTCTCGAAGATTCTCTCTCGAACCCCTCTCAGGCAGGCGTCCCTTGTGGATTCCGTCTGCCGTCCCTCCCGCTGGAATGCCAACCTATTCCCTTCTGTCCCAACCTCTGACCCCTCCTCATGTAAACAAAGCTCACGAGACTCCCAGCAGCCAGACATCTGGCTTCTGCGTGGTGGTCCCTAAACCCTGGGCCCCCAGCCTCCCAAGGCAGCCAAGGACATTCTGTCCTCAGCCACAAGGTGGTAGTTCAGCGGGGACCATGAGAGATAGCATTCACCCCTCCCCACCCGCCCATCTCGGGCTCCCCTGGCGTCCCTCTGCAAGCCAAGAGTGATTCTTCTCTGGCAGTTCCAAGCCAGGCTGCTCTCTGTCCCCTCTCCCCATAGCACCCCGCCCCCCACACCCACTGCTGTCAGATGACCCTTGACTGGGCTCTCTGAGAATAACGCTCCACAGCTGGAGCAGTACTGAGGCCCAGGAGGGTCTGACCCTGGCGAGACCAGGGGCAGAGGGGCCACTGCAAAGAAGGTAAACAGCCCGGCAGGGCCTGAGCCAGTGCAGGGAGCAGTGACACCGAGAGCCCGGAGCACTTCCGTGTGCTAATGTCATTCCATCGCCACACCAAACAGGGAGGGAGGGCCAGGGGATATTTATGAGCACTGAGGGGACCTTTGGAGCACCTAGTCCAGCCCCTCTCTTTGACAGAAAGGGAAACTGAGATCCAGAGAGCAAGAGGATGAGACTGACCCATTGTCACAGGGCACGTGGGTGCTGGAGCAGAATAAGGGGCCAGGTGGCCTGACTGAGCAAGGCACCACATAGGTGCATGCGCACCCAGTGCTGCCTGGGCTCCAGGAGAGCCCTCGTCCCTAGACCCTGCCCACATCAGTATCGCCACAAGCACCTCCTGCCAAACCATCCATTGCACCTACATGGCGCCCTTCCGTGACACATCCCACATGCCCGTCCACACACGCACACACTCGTGCACACGCGCACACGTGTACACATGCAGCCCCTTCCTCTGCAGCCCCAGGGCCCTGCCCGCCTCCAGCAGGGAGCAGCAGGACCTCTGACAGGGGAGGTGGTGAGGGGCGAGGAGGAGCATCCAATACCCCAAACCAGCCCGGCCTGGAGCAGGGCCCTCTCCACAACTCACAGGGGGCCGCCCCGTCCAGGCTGACGGGGAAGAGGAGTGGGGAAAACGGAAGGACAGCAGAAAAGCAGGTCAAGCCAAGGAGCTTGAAGGCCGAACAGAGGCCACGTGAGTGTGAGAAACCGCCCAGGTGGGGGGACTCTGGGTCATGCCATCCACTCCCTGCCCCCAGCTGAAAGGTGCCTGACCCAGGACTGGCGGGCGGAAGGAGATGCCACAGCAGCCCCTGGTCCTCTGAGCCCTGGGACAGCAGGCACCTGGCCAGGCCTGGAGACACACGAGATGCCCTTTTATGGGTTTTTCCAAGGACTCAAGTCTCAAGGTTGGAAATAGCAGGCCCTGCATCTCATCAGAAGGGGCCTCATGACTCATTTCCTCCCAGTCCAGCTTCGGCCTAGGGAGGTCGACCCTCCTCCTCCCACCTCATTGCCCAACGCCATACTCCGCCTAAAGAAAGCTCCAGTGGGGAGCTGGGGGGCTGCGGAAAGGGGGGCGCAGCTGGCAGGGTAAGGGGGGCTGTCACTCACCACCATCTCATGGCTGGATGGAGGAACGCAGGGGGCGGCCACCTGTGGGAGGAACAGAGAAAGGGCAGGTGAGCATTTCTCCTCAAAGCCACCCCATATCCCGCCCTCCCTCAGTGGCGCACGCTGACACTGTCCAGTTTGAGGGTTCTGCAGAAGACTGGGGACAGGGGGCACGCTCGGGCAACGACGCCTGGGAAGGGAGGGGCGCAGAACGGAGAAGTGAAACTCGCGGCACGACCACAGTTCCTGAGCAGTACGCAGACGCGGGGCGCTGGAGGTCAGACACCAGCACTTTAATACTAGCGGGGCAAGCGAACGAGAAAGAGGATTTTTATTTTTTGCTCAATTTTCTGAATTCTCTACACTACGGTAAAATTTGGTTTACATTTTTAAAAACCGAGATGAAAACCTCTAGAACAAGGAAAGTCGCCTCCTCCGTTCTCCCGGATGCCAAGGGCTCTCACCCAGAGGTCGGAGCTGCAGAGGCCCCCAGCGGCCCTGGCAGCGCTTCCCGGAGCGTGCAGGAAACAGGCGGAGGGGCCCCTGCCAGCTCTTCCAAAGGAAGCCAGCAGCGTCGCGGATATATGCAAAGGGCTCTGAGGGGCAGCAGTGCCCGCTATGGGCGCGCTATGACCTTCGTCGGTTTCATCTCCCTCTTTGGTCTGGAGGAGGAGATGGCAACCTGGGCCTCCAGACAGGGCTGGGGGCGAGGGAGAGAGGAGAGGAGAGGAAGGGAGGGAGGGCTGGACCGCTCGCTCCCCTCCCTGAGATAACATTCCCCTGGCCAGGCCTGGCAGCCAAGCCATTACCCTGACAATTAGCAGGGGCATTTATCAGAGACTCAACGTGCTCCTTTTTTCTAGCCGGGACACGTTTTTCTTGGAGCTCAGTCCTCAGCCCTGGCTCCAGTCCCCGACCTGAACACCAGGCAAGGAGCCCACCCAGGGCACAGGGAGGGAGGCTCTCCCTCGGGCAGGAGGGTGTCTGGGCACAGGCCATGGACGGCCAAAGGGGGGGGCCCCCCCGACACTGGGCAGCCCCTCCCTGCCCACCACCTGGGAGGAGCCGGTGATGGCGCAAGCCCACAGTCAGCCCGGCTGAGCCTCATCTCCTCCTGCTCGTGCTGTTGTCCCAACAGCCCCAGGGCGCCCCGGGCTTGACACCCCAGCCTGGAGGAGGACACTGGCGCCCAGCCCACGTGACAGTGCCCCATGCTCTGGGGTGACGCAGTTGGGAGTTAGCGGCCCTGGGTTCCAGACCCACTCATGGCACAGGCTCCCTGCCCAACTCTTTCTCCAGCAAAGAGGCCCAAGCAGTCTTAGCATTTATCACCCTTTACTCAACAGAATTCCAGGACTGCTGGGAGAATCACATGGGACCAAAAAACCCAACAATAACATCCAACACCTGTCGTATATGTACACCATGACAGGTATTATTATAAATGCTTTACCCGTGCTGACTCATTTAATCCTTTCAACAACCCAGTAAGGTGGGGACTACTTGTTGTATGCCCCGCTGAGGTGCAGGGGGCACAGAGAGGTTAAACAACTGGCACAAGGTCACACAGCTGATAGTGGCTGGGATTTGAATCCAGGCAGTATAATCCCAAGTCCGGATGTGGAGGGGACCTTACCATTCATGGCCCAACTCTCAGGATAATGGGTAAATAGGGACTACCGCTCCCAGGGCTCTTGATACACACAGGCACAGGGCTATGAGCAACTATTTTAGAAAAGGCCTCTGCAGGGACAGGGCCCAAGGGTGGCATGGAGAGTGTCAGGGAAGCAGATGGGGAGGGAAGGGAAGGTCAGGGCCCAGAGCTGGCTGTGGCCTGCAGGGCTCCCTGCCTGCCCTGCCCATGGGTCAAGGTCTCAGCCATAGGGGACTGTCCCTGCCCAGCATAGCCCCAAACCCCACTCTGGGGGGTGTTAGGTTTCAACGGCATGGGCCAGGTCCCCCGGGTGCCCTCTCCCAGCTCACCCCATCACATGGGACCCTCACGTCCTGGCAGGGAGCGGGCAGCATCCCCAGGACAGAGCCTTGCTGTGTTCATTTCTTCTGAGCTGGAGCCGGGCAGGGCAGGGAACCCGAACGCAGGGCCCAGCTGCAAGAGGAGGGGCCTCTGCCACAGCCCCCTCCACCCGTGCACTCAGTTACAGGAGGTGAGAGCGAGGCAGGGCAGCACAGACAGGTGTCCTCTGAGACAGATGGGAGGGTATCTCTCCCAGACCCAGCCCAAGGCAGTGGAAAGAGGGAGGACCAGGTGTGCTGACCAGGCAGCCCCTGAGAACCTGGATCTGCGGGGGAGCTGCCTAGCCCCCACCTGAGGGCCTGAGGCCCAGGTGCCCCTCGGGGCTGCTGCCCCCCACGGCCTCTGCCCCCTCCGCCCACAGCTGTGCATTCCAGGCCCGCCGGCCCGCCAGCCCACTGACTTTGTTGTGTGCTTCAGTGTTTCTTGTGTCTCTCTTTTTTTTTAAGCAGAGAAATGTTTCCTTAAAAGGCTGTCTTCTTCCCTCCGGCACCCTGGCCCCTGGCCACCCTCTCAGGAGCCTGGAATGTGCCAGGGAGAACCAGGGCCCCCTGCCACCCTGTGGCGCGTGCCCTGTGGCCCCGCAGTCCTGGTGTCTGCAGGGACCGCCCCCATTGTCCCTGGGGGCCCAAGCAAGAAAGCTTCCCTCCGCAGAGGGGCAGACGCTGGGGGTCTGCAGGGGCTCTCGGTGCCAGCCCTGCCGTCGGTTCACATCCAGGGCTGGTAGCGCAGGACTGAGCCCAGAAAGGCAGCCGTGGGCAAGCCCCTTTCCCCGGCACACCTCAGTGACCATCTAGACACTGGGAGTAAGAGGGCTTTGTGCTCAGTCTTTCCACTCTGAATAATATAACAATAATAATAACGTTGCAGCCCCAAATACTCCCATCGCATCTGCTCTGCACCAGGCACTGTTGTCAGCACTTTGTGTGAATAAAGTCATTTAATTCTCAGAACAACCCTGAATGTTGTAATTATTGTCCCCATTTTGTGGATGAGGAGATGGAGACGCGTAGAGGTCAATGAGCTGGCCGAGAGGAGGCAGGGGACACACCCGCAGTCTGGCTCCGGAGACGGGCCCTCGCCCTCTGGGCCACGCTGGCTCTCCCGTCGGCACGACTTCCACAGAGCCAGCGACAGCGACAGCGACAGACTGCTCACGGCCTGAGTGCGCCGCACGTCTGGACTTGGCGCTTTGCTCACACTAACCGAAGCTTAGCTACGTCCCAAGCCCTTTGCTCAGACTCCTTGGGAGCTATTGTCCCCATTTCACAGATGAGGAAACTAAGGCACAGGAAGGGGAAAGACGTGCCTGGCACCGCAGTAGAGCATCTAGCTCGCAAGCCTATGAGATGGTGACTTGAGGGTGCCGCAGGGAGGTGGCAGTGTTAGCCACCCAGACCACGGGCAATGCCTGGCACTCGTCAGCAACCCTCATCAGTATTGTCTCAACTTCGAAGGTCCCTGGGCACAATGCAAACAGCAGGGCACACTGTGGACACTCCCCCAAGATGAGCAGGTCTAACAGCGCTGGACAGCAGGTGACCCTGGCAGGGAGGTCCCTGTGTGACCTAGTCCCTGCCCTCCTCTCAGCCTTCACTCTGTGCCTGACCCCCTTGGCTAGGACCTAGTGCCACACACAGGGGTGGGCTCCTCTCAAGCCTTCAGACACTTAGCTCTGTTCTTCCTCAGGGCCTTTGCACAGGCTGTTCCCTCTGCCCGGAACGCTCCTCTTCCAGCTGTCTGCATAGCTGTGTCCTCCTGCCCTTCCGGCTTTGCCTAAATCCCACCACCCCAGAGAGGCCCGCCCTGACCCCTTAGATTTCTCTCTCTCTCACTCACACACACACTCATACACACACAGATACACACACAATTCTCTCTCCTGTCCCCATCTCTCTTCCCTCACAGCCTTCACAGACCGAATTACAATTTGTAAGTACACACGTGTGTGCTTCCTTGTCTATAACCGTTTCCCTCTCTACAGAACAAGTGCCCTGAGGGCAGGAAGCATGTCCTATTCATCACACTAGTCCCAACACAGAGCCAGCACACAGTAGGTGCACACTAAATGTCTGTTGAAGGAATGGAAGTGACTCGAGGCCTGAGGAAAGGAGACACTTGGTGAAAATCACTGCCATTTGCTAAGCGCCTACTACGCACCAGGCACTGGGGCTAATGCCGTCATGTGACTGATCTTTCGGAGACCCTCCAAGCCTGCCAAGTCAGCAAATCGCTCTCATCTCACAGATCAAAAAATAGAAACTGCTCCAAGAGGCCAGGACTCTTGCCCTGGGTCTAGCAGCTGGGAAGGGGTATAGATCATAACCTCTGCATTTGTGAAAAATAAAATTTCTTGAGGTCTTGGCTCTTTGGGCAACTGGTGTACTGGTGACATGGAGCTCACTCATCACCATTTTTTGATCAATCTCAACAGAAGACTTACGTTGTCTATCACAGTATTTCTGATGACTGCAGTTTAAAGCTGGGTGCACGCATTACCAACCAGACTGATATGCACTTACACAGCTCCCTTTTTGTCCTATTTCTTTATGGACATGGCTCATTTGCTCATAGCCATTGTACTCGTGTGACTGCTGTCAGTATACCTGAGTGATTATGCTTGCAAAACTATGTATGTTTTATTGCTTATTTTATTGTGTGAAGTGGCTTGAGTCCTATGGCGTATCTTTATATGTTTCTAAACTAAATCCCTTTTTGAAAATGTAAATAAATATCTTTTAAAGAAATTATTCATTATTTTCCCCAGAATTATATTTTCTGAATTTTGACCTTTCAGGATTTCAATATTCGGGATCATGGCATTCAGGATTGTGTCTTTCGGGTTTATAATCGGCTCCTGCTGGGAAGAGGGGAGCTGCAGGCGGAGTCTGGGCTATGGGCTCCGGCACTGCTCTTTGCAGAACGAGAGAAAACCCAGGCGCCTGCCTACCACGGCCCCTGTCGCCTCTGTGCGCTGCAGGTGGTAGGACCTGGGCCCCAACTGGGTGAC